ACTACTCGACTCCGTCCCTAGAATTTGCTCTGCGGTCTGACTGCTCGTCCGCCGGCGTGGGTGGGTGACCCTCGTCGTCATCAATCGCGATAATTATTGTGTCGGTAAACACCCCCGCGTGCACACACAAACGAAAACCCGGAACCGGACGCACTTACGGAACCGACGGGCACGGTGCGACATGATTAAATGAACGCTCCGACGATGTATGTGCACACATGGCGTGTACGATTTTCAGCGAACGCGTAGCTAACGTGGTTAATGATGATGCCACCGCGATATCAAAGACGGATTAAGGAAGCGAATCCGCGGTCATCAACAAAGGTTTATTTAGACCGAATGATACCTGATGCGTCATCATTGATCATTGATCAGATATATACGAGGGTATATTTCAAAGTTTGCTTAGATATTAAATTCCTTGATAAGCGTAATATCGATTCTTCCAAGAAAGCTTGATGAGAAGATATTAGTTCTATCATGACTTTTTCTTTACACAGTAAATGTGATAATAAAAGTGTCTAAAATTGTCTAAAATTTACGCGCGGAATAAAATTTGATTATTTAATTATCGGATCGCGATTGTATACTTTATGTTTACTTTACTTCTACAAGTAAAGTATTATCTAATAAATCACTTTTTGTCGTTTATATTAAATATTAGCCAGGAAGAAAACCGATTCGAGAACTCTCGAGCGAAAGGGAACGCGAGGAATCAGCTGGTTTCTGGCTGGCTAGGTAGCCTAAATACTTCATTTCGTGTGTGCGACGAGCGATTTCTCGAGGGGAGGACTCGATTAAACTAGCGAGCGTCGGATACGACGTTAATTCGATTAACTTTGCGGCGGCAGTTTGTTTGCCGTTCGGTGTCGTATTGCGGGAAAATATTTCGCTGGCCGTTTACAGGGGAGACGTCGCACGGTCACGCATTACGCGGGGGTGCGGAGCTACTTTCCTTACAATGCAAACATACTTCGTTATTAAACCGCGTAGACGTGTACTTTTATTCACTCAACAGCGAGTGAATAAGAGTCACGCCGTAATAAATTGCTTGTCGGGATAAAAGTCGATGGTTTCATTATTGAACTGCTAACAACGTGTATTTCAAGAAAAAGAACAATATTTATATATCATCATTTACATAACGTATTTACGTTATAAATAAGAAAATAATAACTTTTTTTAATATGTCTCTTCAAAAGTATATAAAGACTTGATATTTTCTAAACTAATTTTCTTAACTTAAATTTGTGTTCTAGATTGTTTCTTTTCCTATTCTCTATAATATCTTTCTCAATTTTGGGGTCTTATTTTAAATTTATAAATATTTTCCGATTAGTATGCATTAAACGTTCTGATTTTTTTAAAATTCCAAATATGTGTTTTCGATTAAAACGAAAAAAAATTCCCTTCGAAGAGCAAAGGAGAAGAGCATGCATCTTTTTCTAAATACATTCTCGAATCAATTTAAAATAAACTTTATAGTGATCAAAATAGAAATCAATTGTAACCAAATATAGTAACATAAATTCCTAAGTTATACATTTCTCTTCCTGATAAAAATACAATATAATATAAATTCTTGCGAATGTTTCTCAATTCATGTTATATTATATTTTTATCAGAAAGAGAAATAATTTCGGATTATGATCTGATGCGTTTCTCAGAATGCATACAATCAATTTAAGGTATATCATCGCGATTCGTGCAAACTCGAATTCGTTTCGAGACGCTCGTTCGAAACGCAACCGGCCACGTGCTGGTCGGTCGAAACGCACGTGCGATCGCTCGCGGTGGCGCGACTGTTATCGGTCTGCCGATCGCAGACACTCGACGATAAGCGGCGATATCGTTGGAAACATATCCGTCGCGTCGTTGCGAATCCTTCCGTTGTCACACGTAGACATAATCGCGCGTGTCGTACAAACACAATCACGCCGTAACGTTAGCATGCCGCGCCGTGCACGCGATCGACCGCTGCACGCGACGGTGATGCACCGATTTTTTTCAAGAGGCAATCGTGAGAAGTGCGTTTACCTTCTCCTTCCGAATCGTTGTATAGATAGAAGGACGAAGATGGTACGTAAATTGCCATCAAATGCTTGGCTCAACTTCTCTGCAACAGTCTTCAGCTTTACAATTCACAAATTCAAACCTTCTTTACCCGATTTATTAATTCAGCTTCTGTTTTATTTTTTCGTATACAAAATTTATTTTTTGCTCGTACCAGTATAAATAATCGTATAAATAATCTGTCGATGAAACTTCCTTCGGGACTTCAGGACTCACCGTTTCTCGAGGAGGACTCCAGCACTGCGGTGATGTACTTCGTCCGCTGTGGCTGCTCATCGCGGAATTCGAGGCCGAGTGAAGATTCTGAAGACTCGCGTTCAGTGGTGTTACTGGATCATCTTCCGTCGTCTCGATGTCGACTTCATCGTCCGAATTGTCCTCCTTCTGGCTGATATCCGCCGGTCGCTCCGGGATGACCGCCGGCTCGACGATGGGCGGTCCGCGAATCACCGGACGGAACGCGGACTGATGCAAAGGTGGATTGACAGTTGGAATCAGAGGTTCCGTGGGGCTGGAACCGCTAATGGGCGGTGGTAGCGGTCCTAAAAACCATCAGTGATCGCTGTTTAATCGAGATCACGTCGATCATTCCATTGTGATCGAGATTACACAAAAGCTACAAGTTTTCTTCTAGATAAAGATCGTTGACTCGACGTCGACAAATATTTCGCTCTGAATCTATGTTTTTCATTCTTCAATGTTATTCTTTAATTATTTAAAGCTTCTTTTATCTATCCTTGAAATTTCACTTTACCAGGGAACAGGACAGGACTTCGCTTGGCCAACCAGGGCAGGGCGTAGGACGGAAATGCGAATGGGCCGGGTGTTTTAGCCGCGGCGACCGCTGCTGCCTGCTGATGCTGATGCCACACGTAGTCCATGACGAGACTGCGGGACAGCGGCAAGGGTAGTTCCGGGAACGGCGGTACGCGAGGATGCGTCGGTGTCGGCACCAGAGCGGGAATCTGCGCGGTGCTGTTCGGCGACGATCTCGGCTGCTTCGCCGGACTCGGCGACTCCCGGGAACCGTTCGAGTTGCCCAACAGGCGTTTCCTGGTGCCGCCGTTGAACATCGCCTTGACGTCCTCCCAAGCGTGCACCACTTCGTCCGGCGGACTGCCGGACAGCTTCATGTGCCGGCGCCACGAGTTGAAATTCGCCGCGTCCGGCTGCACATACTTATCCGACGGGCCCATACGGTGCGAGTGGAAGATGAACTTGTTAGGCGAGAAAAATAGGCCGCAGTACGCGCACTTGATGCACTTCGCGCGCGAGCTATTGTAACGAGCGGGCAGAAAAGCGCCGCGGCAACCCCAGGCGCATTCGTGATGAACGGAAAACGCGAAATCCTCGGGCAATCTGCAAGACATCATCGTATATGCATACATTTTATGAGAAAGTAAAACAAAACCTTCAAAATTTAGATAAAATCAAGTCAGTCAATTTCGAAAAGTTGAAGAGCCCTCTACTAAGTGCTTTAAGAGATAAAGGATACGGATGAAAAAATATTTTCTTCTTCTTTAAATGTAAATACACATGTAACTTTAGGTATGTTTTGTTTAGGAATAATTATTTTTCACGCTACAGTTTTATACTATACAGAAAAAGAAAATAGTCTCAAATCAAGAAAAATATTCTCATATGTAAGCAAAAATTTA